CCCCACGTCCTCCACGGACCCCAAAGCCCTCATCCCACTGTTGCCAGGGCCCCAAATCCTTCCATCCCCCCACAAGCCCTGGAACATTCTCCCAGGGCCCCCAACCTTCCTTTGGGTCCCTAAAACCACTTCCAGAGCCCCCGGTGCATCCTATAGACCCCGTAGCCCCAGTCTATCACCGAAGCCCCCCAGAAAGTCCCCACCGATCCCACAGACACCCCAAACCTACAGGCCACAAGATCCTTCAACCTCCAACCTGTCCACAGACTCACAAATCCTCTTCCGAACCCCCAAACCACCATTGCCCCCCCACAACCCATCCAGGAGCCCCCATGTGGCCCCCGGGAAGGCTTCCTTGTGGGTGTCCTCTCCCGCCCTCCAGGCGGGGCTCGGCTGCCCTGCGGGGTGTCTGAGCCCCCCTTTTCCCTGGGCGACGGCAGGCCGTGAAGTCCTCCACGGGCCCCGGAGAGCAGCTGCGGAACGCACTGTGGCACACGGGCGACACGGCGTCCCAGGTGCGGCTGCTGTGGAAGGACCCCCGCAACGTGGGCTGGAAGGACAAGACGTCTTACCGCTGGTTCCTGCAGCACCGGCCCCAAGTGGGCTACATCAGGTCGGGACACTGCTGGCCCAGCTCCAGGACGCGAGGGTCCCTGGTCCCCCATCCGTAAGGCGGACCCAGCACGGGGGGGCCTCCAGTTAGAAGATGACCCCCTTTCGGTGCTGCCGTGTGCGGCCGGGGAGGGCTCTGTGTCTTGGGGAACTGAGGCCCAAGTGCCAGAGAGTGGGGGCCAGGCAGAAGGACCCTCTTCCTTTGAGGTGGGGTTCACCGTCTCCCCCTCCTGCAGGGTGCGGTTTTACGAGGGCCCCGAGCTGGTGGCTGACAGCAATGTGGTCCTGGACACGACCATGCGTGGTGGACGGCTGGGTGTCTTCTGCTTTTCCCAGGAAAATATCATCTGGGCTAACCTGCGTTACCGCTGCAATGGTGAGGGGGACAGGGGACGCTGGCGGGTGGTGGCCTGTCCTCCGTGGTCCTCCTGCCTCTCACCTGCCGCCTCTCTCTGCAGACACCATCCCCGAGGACTACGAGGCCCAGCGGCTACAGCGGGTCTAGAGACCCCCGTGTGGGGACCCACGGGTGACAGGCGATGGCGTTCCTTTCCATTTGCTGGCCTCAAGGGGCGGCCAGCCTGGGAGGGGGACACAGGAGCGGGGACAGAATGGCAAATAAAGTGTGTGTGGGGGGGACTGGCCGGCTGTGGTCTCTGCTGCAGGGAGATGGTGTGGACGGGTCCAGGGGGCCAGCGGTGGTTTGGGGACATTTCTGTCTGCCGCTGTGGTGTCTGTCTTTCACGAAGCCCCCCAGGAGTCTGGGGCGGGGGAGGCTGGTGTGTTGGTTGCCCCGTTTTTGAGGATCCCCTGGGAGTGTGTGAGAGGCTCAGGCCAGCTTAGGGACCGTCCTTGGGGGGGGCCAGGTGTCCCTGTCACCATCACCATGTCATCCCTGAGGGAGGAAAGGTTGGAGGAAGGAGGAAGAGGCAAAGGAAAACATTGGATTTTTATTACATTTCATTACAAAGGACCAGAGGTACAAACACAAGCGTCCTCTCCAGAGGGCAGGACGGGCGCCCAGTGTGTGCCCCAAGCCACCGCCCGCCCGCCAGACCTCCCGCCACGGCGCCCGCACGCCTGGGACCTCGCGTGGTGTGTACATGCTGGGGACAGAGCCGGGGACGCGGAGGACACAGGCGGGGCAGGGCTCGGGGAAGGCGGGTTTGCATATATGAAAGGTGCCGGCCCAGCCAAAGGACAGCTTCCTCCCGGGGGCGAGGTGGGGTCTGCAGCCCCGGGTGCCAGAGCTCTGTCCCCAGCTGTGCTATGGTCGGAAGTGACAGGCTAGGCTGAGCAGGGGTCGCCCCTAAATTCCAGAGCCCTGCTAGAAGGGGCACCCCGACCCCAACCCAAAGCACATGGACCTGTCTCCCAGGAAGGGGACGAGGGGGAGGCGGGCAGCGCCGGCAGCCAGCACCATTGCGTGGTCCAGCCCCACCCCACCTGCCCAGGAGGAGCCTGGGGCCCAGAGACCTGCAGGGGGGGAAACTGAGGCCCAGGTCACATGGGGCTCACTTCCTGACTCCGTGCTCTCGGGGGAGCCCAGCACCCCATCCCGGGGGTGGAGATCACTCCGTGTCTTGCCCCTAGGGAGAGCGGCAGACACTTGTGCCACACCAAGGGCTGTGTCTGACCCCGGCCTGAAGGAGGAACGTCCCAGGGGCCCTGAGTCACACACCATGACACCCCTGAAGGGAGTGGGGGAGTCAAGAACAGAGATTAAAAGCGGGGGACCCAGGAGCTGAAGAGAACGGGGGTTAAAAGAAACCCACTGCCCCTAATCCCGGGCGGGCCTCAGGGCCGTGCAAGGGACCGTGGCCTCCCCAGCTCTTCAGGTCCTGGCAGGCACGGTCCCCTCACCCCCCACGGAGGACCCCTGGGCTGCATCAGGACCCACGGGGAACAGTGGAGCTTCGGCTCTCTTGGGGGTGCAGAGGACCCCCCTAATACCACCCAGCCTCGCCCCACCAGCCTGTGCCCGGGGACACCCGGCCATCTTTGGAAATGAAGAAAACTCAGGATACAGGGGGAGTGGGCGCCAGGGCCCGCTAGGGATGGGCATGACACACTTTCCCCACTCCCTGAGGGTCCCCCGACCTCCACGGTGGCCTTTCACCTGCTCCTGACCCAGGGTACCGGGCCACCACCCTTGCTTTCCGGGCTGTGCCCAGTGACACGGGTGCCTCGCTGAGGGCCTCCTGGCTACCGGCTGAGCAGCCTCAAGGGCACCGGGCCACCCTGAGGCCATCAGGCCGAACACCCCTGCAGCAGAAGCCAGAACTCACTCCCCACAGCACCAGCCCCACAGCAGGCAGCAGGACAGAGGGACAGGGAGGGCAGCGGAGCCACGGGAGCACGGGGCTTGCAGGGGGAGGGTAAACTGAGGCAGGGACGTAGTGTTCTTCGGAGCACCCTGTCTTGCTTCTGTCCCAGGGGAAAGGCTCGTGTAACCGAGGGGCCTGGCCAAAGCCACAGGACACGGGTTCGGGGTGGGCTGGGGAGGGGGGACCGGCCTGGCCCGGCCGCGGAGGACGCAGGCGGTGGGTTTATGTACACACGGCAGGGGACCCGGCCGCGGTTTCCGTACTGAGATCGCAGTAGCTTCACGTGACAAAGCAAAGTGCAGAGTCCCTCGCACTTGTCTTGCTTCACAAAGTCTTGGCAATCCAGGAGAAGGTTGTAGAGAAGTAGTGACACCTCAAAAACTGAAAAGGACCCTCAAAGTGTCCGGCCACAGGCCCCAGGAGGCCGGTCCAGGACCAGAGGGGCATGGACCCTTCTAGAACACGGGGACGCCTGGCCAGTGGCTCCTGGCTCGGTCCCCGGGGAATCGGCCGGGCCCTGCACCCGCTCGGGGAGCGCTGCTGGCATCTGTCCGAGTCTCCTCAGAAGAGAAACTTCTGATGGCTGTGACACACGTGCAATGTCACCCGCCCCCTGGCCACAAGCCCGGGACAGGTGGAGGGCAAAGCCCCTCCTGGCCTGTCCCCTCCCGCCCGCCTGCGCGGAGCGTCGGGAAGAACGGTGGCCGTGGTGGCCGCGCAGCGGGGAGGGGACTGGCGGGGTCCTCGCGGGGTCCCCGGCGCCTTGTCTGAGAACTGCATCCGGCTTGACTGTGATTTTATTATTAAGGCCATGTTTTAAAAGTTCTACATACGCGTCCGACGGCGATCGAACCGTGCTATGTACACGTAGGTTTTTTGTTTCTTAAATGATTAAAAAAAAAACCCAAAAGTCCCCACTGTGCTCTCAGCCTCCACCACGACATCAGGCGGGCCTGAGACCTTGGGCGGGTGGCTGGACAGATGGACGCCGTGGTCCCCAGCCTAAAATGAAGGACGGTGGCCGGGGAGGGGAAGCGATCTCATGCAAGTGGCCACCTGGCCACTTGGGGAAGGACAAGGAGGGAGGATCCGACCCGGCAACCGAGGACAAAGGCTCCCGAGACCCCGGTAGTGGTGGCAGCCGTGACACCAGAAGGAAACGCACCAAGCCGGGGCGCCAGCCCTGCCGGTGGAGGCGCACAGGTGCAACCGGGGCGTGCGGGGGCAGCTTGCGACCCCACAGGGGACACGGGGGACACAGGGTCCCCCGCCCACCCAGGACTAGCAGGTGCCACACAGCCGGCGGACAGGGCACCCCACAGATCCTCCAAAACACCCGACACGGCAGAGGTGTCGCCAGCCCTAAGGAGACCCTGTGGCCGCTGTGGGCTTCCGCCCAGTCCCCCGCTGGGCCCCCAGCCCCGACGTGGCTCCCTTCCTTCCAGGACAACCTGGGGACAAGCTACAAAGCCTGGGCGCGCGGCTCGGCCTGTGCCTTTCCAGCCACGGTTCCAGTTAGCGTACAAAACGGGAAATGGGGACCTGGGGACTAGAAGGTCATGCTCTCAGACAGGCGGCGGCTGCAGGACTGGGCTTCTCGTCTCAAAACGAAAACGTGAAAAAGAAACCGGAGAAGGACAGGGCGGTGCCAGATCCCTCTCAAAACGAAAACGTGAAAAAGAAACCGGAGAAGGACAGGGCGGTGCCAGATCCCGGTCACCTCCCACAGCGGGGGGACGGGGCCGATCGCCGCTGTCACCTCTGCGCCTCCCCGTCCGCCCGGGCAGGGGACCTCGCTCTCATGCCTGGCCATGGCCGGGTGGCCGGGGATGAAGAAAGGCAGTGAGAGCTGAACAGTCGCTGCACCTCACGCGCTGGGCGCCCGGCCCGGCCAGGGCAGCGGACCGCGCGGCTTTGGCGGAGGGGGACAACCGGGGACGGGCTGGCGGCGGCAAGCTCAAATCACAGGCTCGGCCGTTGGCGAGGGGCGGACGGAGCGCGGCCGTCCCCGGGCTGGGGACACGCCGTCGGGGACCACGGACCGGCCACGGTGTGCCGGGAGGACGGGGCCGCTCACAGCCGGTCCATCCGGAAGGTGTCCTCTGTGGCCGGGTCGGCTAGGACCATGTCGGGGTCATTAAGCATGTGCAGTCCGTCCAGGGTCAGGGGGTCGATTTTGAGCTCGTCCAAGGGGAACTGGTTGTCAGAGTCAAAGTCGCTGACCCCGGCCAGGCTGCTGGTCAGTTCTTTAGAGAGGCTGGGGGGGGACTCTCCTGTCACTGGGGGAGAGGTGGGGACAAATGGCACGGGTTAAGCCTGACCTCTGTGGCTCCAGACACAGGGTCTCCACTGTCCCCGGCAGGGCAAGCAGCCGGGCCCCCATCCTGTCCTCTGGGGGACGTGCTGGCTGGCTGTCACAACGGGGAGGACGCAGTGGGTGGAGGCCACGGACGCTGCCCGACACTGTCCAGTACCAGCACGGTCCCACCCTAAAGAACCGCCGGGCACCGGAAGCCAGGAGCGCCAAGGTCAAGGCCAGCACTGACCTGGTGGAACAAGGCCACTCCTTTGTCGGCTGGGACAAGTGTGGGGGCCGCAAACGAGGAGGGGGCCTCACTGTGGGGACCCCGCTCCCCCCTCTCCTGCCACGTGGCCTTTGGGTCAGTCTGCAGACCTGGGAAGGGGATCGGAAAGGTGTCTTTCTGAGCAATCGAGAGGGTGACTCCTGAGTAGGTGGCTGTCGCTGGCCATGCGTGAACATGGACCCTGGCGGGGGGTGGCCCCACCCAGTAGCTCTGGCTCAGAAGTGGCTTGGAAGGAAAAGCCGGGGCCTTCAGGGGGCTTGGCGGAGACACAGGGCGGCCCCTGGACAGTCCGGCCGCAGGGACTTTGTCAGGTGTGCTGCACACGACAGGCCTGGCCTGACCCCTGGGCTTGGTCTGCTAAGGCCACACAGGAAGCCGACGGCTGGGCAAGTGACCAGCCTCGGGAAAGCCCAGGGTGTGGACACCCGCGTCGGGGTCCAGACGTCCCCCTGGCCCCTGGGGGACGCAGGGTCCCAGCTCAGCCCTGGCGCAGCGTCCCCGGCAGGGCCGGGTCCCTGGCTCACCTGTGAGGATGATGTTTGGGATGCCGCCGTGGCTGGCGTAGCCGAGCTGCGGGGCGTCCTGCAGGCTCCCGTGGCTGCCCGAGAGGCCCATCATGGCGGCCTGTGAGTAGTTGAGTGTGGAGCCCGGGCTGTAGAGGCTGCCGGAGCTCATGGCGCTCTCCATCATGTTGAACTGCTCCAGCTGCGGGGGACGGGTGGACGTGAGGACCCTGGGGGCCCCGGCCGAGCACGCAGCCCCAGCCCTGCCCGCCCCCCCACAAGGTGCAATGGACGGATGGACAGATGGATGGACGGATGACAGGTGTGTGGCCAGCTCCAGGCCACAGCCGACCCCTCCCGGGCCGATCTGCTCACACAGCCAGCGCCACCTCCCAAGGGCGCCCGGGTGCCCGGCCCTGCCCGGGGCCCAGGCCTCTGCTCTTGAAGTCCATCTGCCGCTGGCCACCGAAGCCGAGGGAGGCAAAGTCAAGCCACCCACACGGGGACCTTGGGCTCTGCCGTCCAAGGACAGAACGGGGCAAGGCCGAGTGTGGGCGGGGGCTTGGGGTGCGAGTGGCCCTGGCCCGCACGGCCTGGCTCTGGCGAGTGACCGCTGTGGGCGCCGGGTGGCCGGTGGCCTGTGCGCCCGCTCACCTGGTGGGACAGTGCGTTAGCCTGCCTGGCCGCCATCTGCCGCTCATAGTACGGGTCCCCAAACACGCTGCCCAGAGTGGAGGTGTGCTGCAGACAGAAAAAGGCCGCTGTGGCCACAGCCGGGGATCGGCAGGGCTGCGAGTGGCCCGGCTGGCCGGGACCCAGGCCCCTGGAGGATGCACAAGGGTGCAACGGTCGTCTTTCCGCCATTCGTTCCAAGGAGGGGGGCACCTGCTGCCCCGTCCCCCCAAGCCCAGTCCACCATCTCTGTTCTCTGAGCCCCAGGGGTGGGGACCTCACTTCCGCTGCGAGAAATGTGGTGGGAGAGAGGCGTGGGCGGCCCCGGAGCAGGGCCTGTGAACGCGGCCAGGACAGAAGGCTGTCCCTGTGGGACGGGAGACGGACAGAGGCCAGACACGGCACAGGACAACGCACAGAGCCATCACCGCCAGGCCAGCACGGGTCAGGGCACGAAGAGGCCACCGCCTCCCAGACCCAGGCCTGTGGGGTCCCCACGCGGCTCTGAGCCTGCCGTCCCTAAAAGGGCGGGGGGGGGTTGCAGTCCACCTCATGGACACGGGACGGAGCGCAGCTGGGATGGAAGGGAGGAGACAGATGGCCGTGCAGGTGAGGCCTCAAGTAACTGCTACCGCTCGTCCCTATGGCTGCCAGGGCCTGGGAACCTCAGGCTGGTTCCCCACTGTGGGACGGGGTAGCCTAAGAAAGTCCATGCCTCAGTTTCCCCATGTAACGTGCGTGCCCAGTGCATCCAGGTGACCGTCCTCACTGACCAAGGCCCCTGGACTCCCTCCAAGCTTTTTGTCTAGAAAGATCCCGTGCGCTCTGATGACCCAGAGTCTGGGTCTTGGGGTTTGGTCACAGAGATGGGTTGGTGTCTGGTCCTTCTGGCCACACAGGTGGTCAGGGGAGTGAGCAGAGACGGCCACGCGGACACTGGCGAGGAGTTGGCGTGGGGGGACGCACGGGAGCTGTGTCGCCCTAAACCCCACAAGAGCCGCCCGGTGAGGCTCCGCCCGGTGTCTCCGTGCCGCAGCTCGGGTTTTGGAAAGGGGGCCGCAGGGCTGAGGCTGGGTTTGCCCGCCTGAGGTGGACTGTTTTGGGGTGCTGGGTGGGATTGAGCATCTGTCCCCACGGCCTTAACGGACTGGCACACGGGGCTGAAGGCCATGGTTTCTCCCGTGGCGCCGTCCACGAGGACAGCAGGTCAGTGCACGCGTGGGGAAGGGGCCCCACAGGGGGTCGGGGCAGGGAAGCTGATGACGAGCTTGGCCTCTGTATCTGACGAGGGCCTCCTTGGCCCTTGGGCCCCTGGGGGAGTCCCTGTCCCTCTAGTCTCTGGCAGGGCTGGTCCACCCTCACCCGTGTGAGCCGCTGCTCCCCACGCCAGCACGTGACGGACGACAGACACACAGACAGGGCTGTGAGACAGTGGCAGACTTCCCATCCAGGATGGGCTGACCGGCTTTGGTTCAGGGCAGAGGCCCCGGCTACCCTAACTCCTACCCCTGTCTGCCGGCTACGACCTGGATGGCCTCTCCTGCCCCCTCCGGCCATGGCACCAAAGGACAAGATGACACGGGGCTGAGACCACAGAGCTCAAAGCACTGTGGATGGAGTGGGGTGTACAGACGCCAGGCTGACCCCAGACCTGCCTCGAGGCCACCCCCCCGTCCCCGTCCGTGCAGCAGGGCCCCTGTTGACAGGCAGGGCCTTGTCCTCGTGTCATCTCTGCCACCTCACAGGTGTGCCCAGGGACAAGGCACCCTGACCTCATTCCTGCCAGGTCCCCTGGAGGGATGGCAACTGTCCCTGCTCTGTAGAAGTGAGGACCCTATTGTCCCCTCTACCAGGGACAAGGAAGTGACTTCACAGCCTTGCACATGGCAGAGCAATGACCACGGAGACCAGGACGCCAGGAACGCCAGGCGGAAGACAAGGCCAAACTGGCCTGAGGCCCGGGGTCCGGGCCAGCCTCAGTCACCTCATGAGACTTGAGGTCAGGCTGGCCCGGGGTCTTGAGGACCACAGGACGTTGAGGGGCGCCCCGAGGCACTTGGTGGGGGGCCCAGCTGCGGCTGTCACAGGGGCAACGGCCACCGGTAAAGTCATGGATTTGTGCGAGGGACCCTCACCACCCCCGGCGGCGCTCGGCAGAGACGACACAGAAGGGACAGGGAGCCGGTGGCTCCCGGAGGGGCCCGAGAGGCCGGCTCGGCTCTGATGGCGAGGGCGGTGAGATGGCATGGAGCGGGGACGAGAACAGACAAAGCCACACGGGACAGGACACAGCTGGGGACCCTTACTTGCGGGGAGCTCCCGGGGGAGAAGCCTTGGTTGGAGACGGGCGAGGTGGGCGACTGGTTGGCCGGGGAGCCGGCGCTGGTGCGGTACTGCGGGAGGCCGGGCGCCTGCAATGACAGACATGTCAGGATCTCCGATCCCTGCTTCCGGGGATCACCGCACCCCACAAGTCCCCGGCAGGCCCCTGGTCTGGAGCCCCGAGCAGCTGCTGACCACGATGTGCGGACAGCTGGCCTTGACCCTGTAGGCTGCAGGGCTGGACAGTGGCACCCCACACCCCACTCGTGCGTCAAGCAGACACACCTGCATACAGCAGGCAAAGCCTGGACGGGCAGGCGAGGGGACCCCCTTCTGTCCCCAGCTGTCCTTAGCTGTAGGTCCTGGCGGGTCCTGGCTATCCAAGACCTAGTCTGCCACCAGGCTGGGGGGACCACCTCTGGGGTGGAGGGACTGACAGGAAGGATCTGAGCATGGGTGGCCACTATGGCAGGTGTCCCTTGGATCAAACCTGCCTGGGTTTTGCCATCTGAGAGACTGAGGACTTGACGTGTGAAGTCACCACTTGGGCCACCAGACCTCTGGGAGGCAGGTGTGGCCAGGCAACGACCCGGCCGTGCTGTGTGCTCCTGGAGGGGCTGCTTGACCTCTCTGAGCCTGCTGTTCAAGGAGGCTGAGCCCCACAGCTGCTTAAACTTCTTTCCCTAAGTGCCCCTTTTCTTAGCAGCGAGTCCAGGCGGAGAGGCGTAGGCTCGGTCAGCAGGGCGTGGGTGACTGAGGGTCACTTGGACCCTCCCAGAGCTGCGCAGGACAGCAACGGGGGCCCTGTGAGGCAGGGTGGTTGACCTGACCCAGAGCTCCAAGAGGGGGACACCTCTGCCCCTGGCCAGGACACCCTCACCCTCCCATGGCTGCCCAGCTCACGGGCTGCCCCCACCCGCGGGGCCTCCCGAGCCCTGCTGCTTCCACCAGACGCAAAGCGTGGACCTCTCTGGGGCCTCTGCCGGGCGCCCTCCAGGGCCCAGAGCACCTAGGGTGACCCCCAGCCTCCGTCTGCAGGGCCTGGGCTTTGCCGAGCACGCAAACTTCTGGGGACACTGAGCCTGGGCACCTGCCTGTGGCCGAATGCAGCTGTGACCGTCCCTCTCCCACACTCAGGAAGGCCTGGGGATGCAGGGGTCACACCACTGTGCCCAGAGCTTGTCACCGCAACCTGGCCTTGGGCAGGCATCCCACGGGGTCAGTGAAGCCCCCCGAGTGCTGGGCTGTGTGACCAGCTCTGCCTAGGCTGGCCTCATCTTGCCTTTTCCACCGAGCTCAGCTTGATCCCCCGGTTTCTGTGTGTCTGGTCCCCAGGCCACAACAGTGCCCTGGTCCTCCACCCTGCAGGAGGCCTGGACTCAGCAGGAGGGGACAGCGGGGCCATGGCTGTGTTCGGCAGCTGGTCATGCCAGTGACCAGCCCGTGCCTCAGTTTCCCCATCTGCGCACGGGTGCCAACCTCAGCTTCACTCTTTAACAGCCACCTGGGCTGAGTACCTGCTCCAAGGCAGCGCCTGTGTCTGTCCTGACCCTGACTGACCGTCCTCCTTCCTGTCCAGCACTGTGGCCTCCCGTGGCCCCTGGCTCCTCCTGCCCGAGCCCCCCATCCAGGCCCCGCAGGACCCCATCCTGGGCTTACCGAGGCAATGTCAAGCCCCATCGGCGGCTGGCCCGTGCTCTCTGGGGGGCCCTGGGGGAGAGGGGACAGTACCGTGACCGCGAGCGGGGGCAGCTGCGGCCCCCGCGTCAGGCTGGCGCTGGGCATGAGGGGGCCACCCGGGGGGAGGCCGACGGACACCTGAGGGGGTGGCGGAGGTGGCTGCTGTTGGGACGCGGGTGGTGGTGGTGGCGGCTGGGCTGTGGTGGTGGCTGGGAGCCCGCCTGGTTGAAGAAGGCGTAGGGCAGCTGCTGCTCCAGAGACAGGGCGTCCATGGCCACGGCCTGTGGGAGAACAGTGTCGGGCCACGTACACTTGCTCCCTGGCTGCCAGCACTCGGGGACACAGTACCCGCTTGTCCCCAGCGTGGCGTGCTCAGCCATGACAGGTGGGCAGTCCTGGGGGTTTCCCAACGGTGAGGAAACAGGCCTGGCAAGGGTGGTCCTTGCCCAGGGTCACGGGGCTGCAGCTAGACGCCCCTGGGCAGGTGATCCAGCTGGCTGTGACTTTATCCTGGTGCACAGTGGGCCACCCTGGCGTCCTGGCTGCTATGGGCACAGGATGGCCACACCCTGGGGACGCGGTGGGCCAGCTCCTAGCCCACTGAGGGGCTCACAGCACCCTAAGCACCTTGCCCATCTGGGGGGCTTAAGGGCGTGATTGCTTGGTAAGGATGGACCCAGGACATTGCCGGAGACGGATAGGAAAAGCAGCAGAAAGCTGGGGGTCACCTGCAAGGAAGCCATCATTGCAGGGCAGGTGGGGCCCTGGCCTCGAGAGGGACAGGCGAGCCGGGCTGTGCATAGGAGCCAGGGGACTTAGGTAGTTAGACGCAGAGCTCTAAGAAGCTGTTTCCAGAAAGGGAAGGGGCGGGAGGTGTCCGAGGTGGAGTGGGGCCCTCGTACCTGAGTGATGGGTGACAGCGGGGACAGGGTGGGTGACACCTGCTGGGTCTGTTGCCGCCTGGCCTCTGTGCTCAGGGACAGGGGGCTGACGCTGGCCGGCCGGTGCTGCGGGGAGGAGCCGGGCGTGCTTATCCCTGTGAAGGAAGTCGGGGACGCTGAGGAGGCCACACTGCCCGGGGAGGAGCCAGCGGGCACTTCCCACGGCCAGCCCCGGGGGCTCCCCTGGCCCCATCTCTGGCACAGACCCTGCTCTGTGCTCCTCCCACTTCTCCATCCCCCAGGAGGGGCGTGTCCCGTGTGCTCAGCCAATCAACACTGAGGCTTGTGATTGGCCCCCTTGCAGGGGCACATGACCAGCTGGAGCCAATGAGAGCCTGCCCTGGGCCTTTGGATGGGATTTCAGGAAGTGCTGGCTGCAGTTGGGGGGAAGGCAGCACCCCCACATCTGGCCAGGAGCCTCAGAATTTCTGGGGGCACAGGCAGCACATGGAGTCCTGTCCAGTCACAGGGGACACTTCCAGACTTCAGGGTAAACGTCCACTTTCTGGCTTGGCTTTCAGTAGCTCAGGCAAGCCTGGCCCGCCACCCTGTGGTTTCGTAACACCTGACCTTGTGCTCCTTCCATGTCCCACAGCCCTGCACCCCATGCTGGAGAACCCCCACACTGGCTGCCCTTAGGGTGCTGGTGCTCTGCCTGTAATCCCAGCTACTCAGGAGGCACAGCAGGAGGTTGGGAGTTCAAAGCCAGGCCAGGCAAATAGTTCATGAGCCCCCATCTCAAAAAACCCAGCGCAGAAAAGGGCTGGCGGAGTGGCTCAAGGTGAAGGCCCCGAGTTCAACTCAGCCCTGCCCTGCCCCAAGGCCCCGTGCTCTGAGCCTGGGCTATGGATGAGTGGAAGGTCGGGCAGGGCAAGCCAGCAGGGTGGAGTTGGGGCCTGCTGGGTTCTTGGGGGGGCCCCTGACGACAGTGACGCCCTGGGCCCAGCTTGACCCGGGTCTGCCCCGAACCTCGGCTTCCTCTCGGGGAGATGGAGCTGATAGCCACCGCCCACTGGGGTTCACAGCGAGGCCCCGGTGAGGTCACGGGCGGCCTGAGGAGCCTGGAAGGCTGTCAAGCCCAGCAGAGCTGCCTGATGGAGCGGGAGGGAGATGGGGCCCACGCCGTGTCCTGGCAGGCGGCTGGCGGGAACACACCCAGCGCGTGCTGGGGACATGACGTGCCGTGGCTCCCGTGCCCGGGGCGGCTGCTCGGCGGGCGAGCTTGGACGCGTCTGCCCTTCCCCACTGGGCCCTGCGGGCTGCGCCTGGCGCGGATGGGGGGACAGGGCGGAGTCACGCAGCGCTGCATGGCGGCTTCCAGACAGGAGGGGTCCACTCTTGCTCACAGTGGCCTGGGTCAGCCCTGGCCTCTGAGTGACACCATCTGTCCAGTAGGGTGAAGGGACACTGAATTGCAGGATGGGAGTTGCTAGGGCTTTGTGAGCGGCAGAACCAAAGGCAGGAGCTACTGGCCAGGCAGGGCCTGGGGCAAACGTGGCCCAGTGAGGTGCCCGGTGCTGCCGGCCGCCCCGATTCCAGAGAAAAGCCAGAAGCCAGGCTCGCCACAGGCCGGCCTGCTTTTTAACTGTGTCTTTTAGGTATCTGACACACGCCATCACAGCCACAAGAGCTGCCTGAATGCATGGCTTTCATCCCTGCCCGGGCGTGGGTGACCACTACCCCGGAGAGGCCAGGTGGGCGGCAGGGTGGCCGGGCACCTTCCTGCTTTGCCAACCTGGATCCCCTTTGCAGCAGAACCATGGCCAGCTGGAGAGGAAGGCCAGGGCGGGCAGCCAGGTGGCCAGGCTGTGGGGCCTGTGGCCAGGATGTGACTCGGGCAATGTCCCCAGACCCCTCTCCCTGTCACAAGGCGGGTGGGGGTGGTGGTGATGGGGGGAGAATCTGTCCCTGTGCCCGGGGTCAGCAGCTCATCTTACACTAAAAGGTGAAGACCAGGTAGGGAAGCGGCCGGTTCTGAAATAGCCACACACATGGCAGACATTACGGGCGGGGCCCGCCAGCCAGCAGCGGCTCACATGTGCCGTGCCGGTCTCTCTCTGCTTGTTTAGACTGGGGCGGCTGGAGGTGTGGGGCTCCTGGGCGGGCTCTGGGGGGCTGCCAAGGCCCCTGGGGCGCCGAGGGGGCTGGGAGTGGGGGAGCCGGGAGGACGGGGCGGAAGGAGGAGGCTCTGTGTGGGCCGGGTGGGGACAGTGCAGTCCCTGAGGCCTCCTGCCTGGCCAGGCCTGGGCCCCCCTTGTGCCCCGTGCCAGGGTGTGACAGGCAGGACACCTGGGGCCAGGACCTTGCTCTGGCCTCAACCCGATGTCATGGGGCCCAGGGACGGGGGTGAGCGCTCGGCCAACACGTGCCAGGCCCCGGGCTCCCTCCCAGCCCTGCACACGCACGCACATGCCAACACGCGTGCGCACACACGAAAGCCGGGGAACACGTGCGCCTTGCCCCGCTGGTGCCCTGCGCTGTGGGCACCGGGATGGGAGCACCTCACGGTCCCTTTGCTGTCCACGCCCCGCACAACCCTGCTCCCTGCAAAGCACACGAGGAGACCCCTGCTCTCCGTCCAGGTGCCGAGCTCCCCCCTTCCTGCACTCCTTTCCAGGGCAGCCATAGGGACGTCCCCAAAGGATCGCAAAACTCATGCTTTTCCCAGGAGAACCTGGCCCAGCGCTGCCTGATGCTCTCACGATCCAAACCCGTACCCTACTTCAAACGGGGCCCCAGCCCAAGGGACAGCTGAGGAGCAATGGAGCAGAGCTGGAGAGGCCAGGTGGTCTGAGGACAGGGTGAGGTGGACAGGGCAGGCCAGGGACGGGCTCACAGGCTGCCTGCAAAACAGTCGGGGCGGTGCGTGCAAAGGGCCTGGGGTGAGGGCACCCCACTGCGGGGGCACGGCTGGGAGACGGGGTGCAGGTGCATCGTGGGGGCCTCCCAGGTCTCGGACCTCCATGGGGCAGGAGCTGAGGGTCACGAGGGCTCCCAAGCAGAGCTGGGGTGGGGCAGATAAGCAGAGAGGACGGGGAAGGGTGGCCTGGTCCTCATGGCAGCTGCTAGGACACACCTGTGCCACGTGTATGGGGGGACAGAAGAGTTCAGGGGACACTGCCAGTCCTCAACAGAGCCCCAGGACAGTCTCCAGCAAGGACAGGGACAGCTGCACCACCTGGCTGGGCTGACCCTGCACAGCCTGCTCCCAGCTCCCTGTCCCCCCCGGAAGTCACCGTCCCATCTGCGGGGCACCACGTGTCTGTCCACCCGGCCTCTGCCCAGGCCCCGCTCCCAGCACTTTGGACGCAGCTGGGATAAGTCACCTCTTGCACTTGGATGGGGACATGGTGCCCGCGCCCTCAGGGCCTTACCCTGGCCCGCACCGAGGCCCAGGTGCGTGAGGTTGGTGGCCAGGTTTCCGGCACTGCCAGAGCTGCTGAGCGCGGGGAAGGCGGGCTCCTCGGGGTCCAGCGGGGTGGGCAGCGGCGAGGGGAAGTGGATATTGCTCAGGTCGGGCAGGGAGCCCCCCGTGCTGTGGGCGGCAGGGATCAGGGCTGTAGTGTTCTCCTGGTCGGTGGACGGGAAGATGCTGGGGACAGGCCAGGGGACATGGTGAGCGCTGGGGACGCAGATGGCCATGTCACCCCCTCCGTCCCCACCCGGGACCTGGGGACATCGCCACTCTCGGATGACCGCCCACAGGGGAGCTGTGTCTGGTGGCCGGGACAGGGTGTCTCTATCACCTGGACGGCCATCAGCGGCCACTCGGTCCCCTTGGGCTGGACTTACCTGATCCCAGGGACCTCACAGGACTTGGGCCTGGATCCTGGCTGGAAGAGAAGATGGCTGTCAGCCGAGGGGAGCTGTGTCCCACGCCCCGCAGGGCAACTCTCTGCCCTGCCACAGCCGGGCTGCCCGAAGCCACCAGCAGCTGGGCCCAGACGTCCTCACAGTCCAGGGCCTGCCGCACGCCCTCCCGGCTGCCTGGCCTCTCAACACCCCTGGGGTGACTGCCACCCTGTGACCACAGCCCGGGAGGCGGCCAGCGTGACGTCCCTTTCTCTGCGTGGCTGTGGCAGGGCGGGTCCCTCCTTGGCCAGGGCCCTGTGGTCACGTCAGGGGACCCTGCAGAGCGTGCTCAAGATGGCTCTGAAAGGCACCGTGCAGACAGTGTCCACGGGGCACCTGCCACCTTTGCTTCCTTCACTGTGGAAAGGGGACACGACCACTGACCCCCTCCCTGCTCCCTGACATTCCCTTTCATCTGCATGTGGTCAGGGTTTCCTCCTCCTGGTACTGGGCCTTGAACTCAGGGCCTACATCTTGGGCCACCCCAAGGGTCTCGGGAACTATTTGCCCGGGGTTGGCTTTGAACCGCCATCCTCCTGGTCTCTGCCTCCTGAGAAGCCGGGATTACAGGCGTGAGCCAGCAGCGCCTGGCAATCGACCTGCTCTTAACAGCAAGTCGAACCAAGAGGGCACCTGAGCAGCCCTGAGCCAGGGTCACAGCTCAGGAAGAGAAAGTCACCCCAACCGGCTGGCTCGTGAGTTTTCTGTAGGCCAGGCTCGGTAAGAGTGACAAGGAAAAAAAAAATGGTTTGACTGCAGTTTTACCTTCTTGGTGTCCCATGCCTGCTTGGAAAGGTTCTTGTCAGCCTCTGACGTGGTCCCCTCCATTCCTGGGACTGTCAGAAGTAAGACTAGGGTGGAAAGAAGGACGATGAGAAAGGAGTGCACCTGCAGCCACGATGGCACCAGGAGGTGCCCCAGAAGTCACAGACATGATGAGTAACTTCAGGTACGCGCTCTTCAAGACCCAACTCAACTAATCCCACCTGTTCAAGTTTCACTGAGCCCCTCCTCTTGAGGGGCAGCACAGTCCAAGTCTTCCTTCAAAGGTCTATCCGCCACAGTAGGTGACCTGCTGGACGGTGAGTGCCCCCCATACCTCTTTTCTGGTGTGCGTCCTGGGATCCACCCGTGAAGGACTCTGACGGGGTGGGCGTCAGCGCAGTCTGGTGCAGTGCGGAGTCCGAGTTGGTCCTGGGGACAGGAGAGAGACGGTGAGGCCCACGGGGGACGAAAGGCCTCCTGACCCCTCTTCACCAGAAGCCATGAGTCGTGGCCCCACACTGCATCCCCTGCTGGGGACAGAGTGGCCACGGGGTCATTTTGCACCTGGTGAAACCCTGAAGTCACAAGAGCGACCACTGCTCCACCTGCAAAGCCACCGTCCAGCAGCACAGAGGCAGAGACGCCCTCCGCCCCTACCCCGTCCCTGCCGACTTCCTGGGGGCCCAAAGTCCCATGGGGGTCCAGACTTGGGGTTCCAGTCACCAACCGTGTGTGGCAGGCGGCACAGGGGTTTCCTAGGTGGGAGTGTGTGTGGGGGGTCTCATTTCAACTGCCCACATACTGGACAGGGCGCAGGGGAGCCCCCACTCAGGGAACCGAAGATGACAAGGACAGGGTGACCTCAACCTGTGTGGGTCCTGTGTGGCTGACGGGGACATCCCCACCAGTCCCTGATGAGGGACAAACTTAGTCCAAGGAGAAAAAGTGACAGTGACCCAGGCAAGTGACATTTCAGAAACTAAGCCTCGCCCTGCCTGCCCCTGCTGTGTGTCCCCCAGCCAGTGTCCTGACCTCTCTGGGTAACACGGCACCTATGCCACTTGGCTCTGCCTGTTTTATGTCCACTAACGTGACAGCGGTCTGACGTGTGGTGACCGTGTCAGTTGGGTCCGGTGACACCTGTGGGTTCCAGCTACTTGGGAGGCTGGAGCCCAGGAGTTCAGGGCCAGCCTGGGCAGCACAGGGAGACCCCAGCTCAGAAAATGACAAATAAAATAAAAACGAACAAAGGAAGCTGTAAGCTGAATATGTACGTTTGGAAAGAAAGAAAAAAAGCAACGAGGAGGAGAAAGAAAAGGACGGAGGGAGGGAGGGACAGAGGACGAGAGGGCCTGGTGGGGACTCTGGAGACCCCGCTGTGGCCGGTGCCAAGGTGACTTCTGGACGCATCCAGCCTCCCCGTGCTACAGGACTGGGCAACGGTGACAGTGCGCCCTGAGCCTGGACACTGACCTTCTCCAGCTGGTGTCCGCGGGCGGGGACAGGTACACGGTGCCGTAGGGGCAGCTGTCGGCGTGCACTGAGTTAAGGGACGGTGGACTCAGACCCCTCCCGGCCGGCTCGCAGTGGCCTGGGCTCCCGTCCCCTCCTGTCCTGTCACATCCCATCCCATCCGTCCCGTCCTGGGCCTGGGCAGCTGGGCCGGCATGGCGGGGGCGTCCTCCCGGCCTCTCCTCTCCTCGCAGCGTTTCCTGCCTGGCCGAGCGCAGCCCCTGTCCCCCGGGGACCCGACCCCTGCACCCGGCACTCAGCACCGTCCTCGGGCGAGCGCACGTGCGGCCGCGCCCCCTTCTTCCCGGGGCCCAGCTGGCCCGGCTTCCGCGGGGAGGAGAGGAGGACGGATCGCGGCTCCGTCTGCACGGCGACTTCCCGGCGCTCTGGGCCGGCCAAACACCCAGGATGGCAGCGTCAGGAGGAGACTCCGCAGGTCTCTGCTCCACCGGGGATCAGATGGGAAATTCATGCACCTCTTATGCACACAGAGCCAGCGTGAGGTCCACCTGGTCTCACCCACTTCCTCCCAGCCCTGCCGCCCCTGCCCACGTCCTCTGCCAGGAAGGATATCTGCCGCCCATGCTTGTCCACCGACAGGGGCCTGCGGTGTGGGGAGCCAAGCCGGCCACGCTCCCGGTACACTCTGTCCACCAGCCCATGGTGCCGCGTGGTCCGGCTGGTGTCCAGGCCCGAGGACTGGAAGGGTGTCTGGGGTGAGGGGAGGACAGGAGGCGGAGGCAGAAACAGAGAAACCCAGACACTGATCACCAATGGCACCCACCCGGCTCTGCCCCCCTCTCCCCCGAATCTCCCCGACTCCCCTGGGCCCACCGTGGCCTGGTGAGGGCTTCCTCCTGCAGCCCAGTCCCCCAGCCCTCCGAGCCCTGGGGTGGGGGTGCAGAGCCGGCGAGGGGTCCAGGCCTGGGACACAGGCGTGCGGGCAGCTGGCATGCACGGGCCAGGCAGAGCGGCACAAGCTCGGGGCCATCGCCAGCCAGCCGGGGAGCAGGCGGCCCGAGCAGCCCTCCCCAGCCTGGCCAGGTGCAGACGGGCCTCCGCCCACTCCCAGGCCTGGCCAGCCTCCTGTCCCCACCTACGTCATCCCTGGAGGGGCTGCCAAGACGGGGCCCCGCGCTGGCCCCCAGGGGGGTCCGGGCTAAGCCTCGGCCCCCACAGGCCCTTCCCCGGCGTCTCGTCCTTCTGGAGCCCCAGCACCTGGGGCTGGCACGAGGCCCCGGCCAGGCCCTGTGTCTCTGCCTGCCCTCGCCCCGTGAGGCCTCTGGCCATCTGAGTACAGTGAGATCGGCCACTCTGCCAGCTCTGGACGCGGCAGTCTGCTGCCCGGCCATCTGGCCCCTGGGACCCCTCTGGAAGGCACTCGCCTGAGCACTGGCTCGGCTCTCGGGGATGACCCAGCCAGCAAGGACCCTCGCTGGACGGGGCTTTCTACACTTTTACCCCTCCAAAAGGATGTGAACCCAGGAGATGGCAGCAAAGAGCAGGGGTGGGGACTTTGCCACCAGAAGCCTGGAAGGATGGGGCCATCGACCTCTCAGCGCAGCCCAGAGGGGGAAACTGAGGCCAGAAGCAGAGCCAGGGTGGGGAGGAGGCTGGGCCAGCCCCGCCCAGCGCACGAGGCCCCTCCTGTCGGCCGGGGACGCCGGGGACACACGCAGATGCGTGCTTCCTGAGGGGCAGAGCATGCAGCATGGGGACACATGCTCAGATACGGCCGGGGTGGCCCCGGCCAAAGTGACATCCGCCCAGATGGCCCCCAAGCGTCCCACGGGGGCCTCTGGATGTGGCCATGCACACTTCCCGAGATGGGGTACAGGCACATCTGTGGCTGTTGAGCCACAGGGGGGGCCTGGGACACCAGGCTGCTGCCGTGTCCCCGCGGCCTCAGGCTAGGGACTCAATTACCAGAGAGACAGGAGCCGCGGCCAGGGCCTCCCCCAGAAATCCGCTGGGCTGAAAATGCAAAGAACCGAGACTCTGAGTGGCCGGGCAGGGGGCGTCCAGGGTCCCCCAGGCGGTGCCCAGCAGGGCCTGTGACCCTTGGCCTGAGAGGAGGAGACATCGGCCCAAAGGGCTTCAGCAGGGAGCCCGTGTGGAACCAGAGTGACAGAGTCCCGGTGTCACCTCTAATGTGGCCTCAGGGGACCCAAGCCAGGCAGACCCGAGGAGCTGGGGGTCCACTGGGGACAGCCCAGTTCCACCCGGCCCACAGCTGTTTCTGGGGCTCTCGCAGCACTGGGTAGATAGATGTGTGACTGCTGGGGGACCCTGAGTCCCAACCTGGCTGTCCCCACTCCCACCTCTGCCTGCAATGGACAATGGATGATGGACGCTGGACGGGGAGCCGGCAGCCTTATCTCCCCTCGTTTACGATAAGGCCTTGCGGCCTGTGGGAGCCGCACTGGGTGGGTTCTTGCCAAAAACCGCCTGCCGACAAGTGGGGTCAGGCGGCCGGGCCTTCTTCTAGAACTGCTGGGCTTGCGGCTTAGGGAGGTGGACGGAGCCAAGGCCCCGAGGCCCCGAGCGCTTCCCGCGGCCACACAGCCGGCCGGCAGGTGCAGAGGCTGCCGGGGCGCTCGGAGCTCGCTCGTTCGCTCGCTCGCTCGCTCGCTCACAGCAGCCAGGCGGAGGGCTGGCTTTGGGGTCCATGCAGGGGTGCGGCTGGGCCAGTCTGCGTCCTGCTGGCCACGGTACAGGGGACAGAGTGGGCAGGGGAGGGTGGGCCCGGCTCTGTGTGAGGACCCTGCCGTCCTGAGCGGGTGGACACACGTGGGGGGGTGGGTGGGGGAGCTCACCTGGAAGGGCAGGTCCATGGCACCGCTGCCCAGCTGGTTCACGTTGGGCAGGGACCCGCCGTAGTACTGACCGCGGCTCGGGCCCAGCTGCAGGTACTGTGACTTCTGAAGCTGCAGCTGCAAGACAGAGGCCGCCAGCTGGGGGAGGGGACATCGCCCACGGCCACCCCACAGGGCGCCCTGGGAGGTCCCACTGTGGGGACCGTGACCCAGGGACTCCCAGAGAAACCAGGCATCTCCTGACCAAACGCGAGCCCCATCACCGAGCCGGGCAGGGCTGTGCGCCCCGAGGAGGGCGGTTTACACTGTGAACTCGGGGCCCTGGCGGTCTTGCTGGTCAATTTGACCTGCTGGTGACCACGTAAGGGGACAGTGATATGATGACTGTGGAGGTGGCCGCACGCCCACCCCAATAACCATTTCTCATCTCAGCCAGAGCCTGCAGTGGACCCTGGGTGCAGGGACACAGCGCTGGCTGGGATGCGTGCTGCAGGGGTTCCAGCAGCCCACTTGGGGGCCTGGGTGGCCCGGCAGGTCCCCAGTCCCGTCCGAGCACCGGAGTTCCCCGGTTCGTGGGGCTCCACGGGCCCAAGGTCACGCTGCCGTGGACGGTGTGAGCTGGCCTCAGGGAGGGCGGTCCCCGAGGCCCGCCACGTGGCCGTCATGGGCGTGGGCCCGCCGGTTGCTAGGTCCACAGTGTCCACAACAAGGAGGACCGGGTCCCTTCACAACAGCTGCTGGCAGTCTCCGCAGCCGCCCGCCCGCTCTCCCACGCCAGGCCCGCTTCCTGGGGGGCCTCGGACGGGAGGGGAAGCGAGCCTGGGAACTGGCCGCACGCCCGGCCGAGCACCTCGCCCAGGTAGACAGCTGTTTCCTGCTGCGGTGGAGCCGGGGCCTGGCCGCGCTCGGTCCTGGGGGGCTCCCACACCTGCCGCGGGGATGGGGGATGTCAGGAGCCCTGGGTCTCACTGCCAGCCGGGTTCGCCCTCCACCGCACCCCACCCCACCCCGCAGTCGTCCACGTCACCTGGCCGTGCCAGGCCAGGATGGGGAGGCTGTGCGGGTGGGGTGCAGTGGGGTGGGGTCCATTCCTGCCAACCTTCTGAGACCCCGTCACGCAGTCCTGGCAGGAGGCCGTTCCACAACCACCCCTCAGGGACCCGGAGGCCCCAGTTAGGCCTCAGTTTCTCCTTCTTGGTCACTCACCCAGGTGGGTCTGCGTGCAAAAACTGGGCTCCTGACCAGAAAAAGGGTCCGGACAGGGTGGAAGGCCTTTAGCCAGAAGATGCCCGGTGCTGGGAGCGACGTGGGAGCGGATGGCTCCGGCTCCCATGATTTCCTGTCCCCTCCACTTTCCTGAGGGCCCTCCCCACTCATGTCATTTGCACTAGTGTCAACCTGGCCCAGAGTGGCATTGGGACTGTTCCAAGCTCCCAGGAAGCAGCCTGGACACCCCGGTGCCCTGTGGTGAGAGCGTCACTGCAGGTCTAGGTCTAGGCCTTCCTGGACACAGGTGGTCACAGTGAGATGCAGGGTGGAGGCTTCAGGCCACGTGACCTCCCTGGACCTCTGGAGGGGTGGAGGCTGTGGTCAGCCACGTGGACAGTTAACCACGTCCCCAGCACAGACAACAGCAAGAGCCCCGCACACCAGGGCTGGGAGCTCGAGGCTGGCGGGGTGGTGTGTGTGCGTCGCACTGACCATGGGAGGAGGCTGGGGAGCCCCAGCCTGGCTCTCCTGGACTCCACCCCATGCCTCTCCCTGCTCTGTTGGCCACGTCTCCTGCCGTAATAAACCATAACCACAAGTCTGCCGGTTGCCAGATCAGAGTCCCTGTGAGCTGCCAAACCTGAGGGTGGTCAGCTCCCCGACCTCCCAGGAGCTGATCTCCTTCTCCTGGGGTCCTGGGGCGATTGGAGGCCTGCCTTGGCCCCCACAGGCCTCCACCTCGGCTGAACCAACCTGCAGAACACCGTGTCACGTCCCACCACCAAGCCATGGTCCCTCGTGCGTCCCTTCACCTAAAGCCCCAAAACCATAGACACTGCAGGACAGAGCTCCACCCACCCAGGAGCCAGCCCACAACTGGTCATATAGTGCCAAACCATTGCAAAGGAAGAATGGACACTATTGTCCCCTCACTGGGGCTGAGGTCACAGGCCAGTGGACAGCCTGCCTGAAAGCCACATGGCAGCTGAGCTCAGACCCCAGAAGGCCTCAGGCAGCAGCTTGGCCACCCCTTCCCGGCCAGTCCAGGCAACCCTCAGAGCGGGGCCAGCTCTGGAGAGACCCCAGGTGGCCACACAGCTCCCTGCACGGAGCTCCAGCCTCCACACGGTCCTCAGAGCTGTGGACAAGGGGACCACAGCTGGGAGAGCTAAGGCAGCCACAGTGATGGAGCCCAAGGCCACAGCTACAGCAGTTACAATGGGCACCACTCAAGATGGGATCCACGGAGTCCTGTCACTGTACTCCACAATGGCCTCCCCATCTCTCCCCTGTCCCTACAGACCACCCCCCCTGCCCCCCCGCCCCGCTCCAAAGCCCCCTGGGCTTGGTCCTGTGACAGACCTTTCCCCCATCTAAAGGGACTGTGATGCCCCCAGGTGTCACTACACAGTCTCAGCTCGGTTGTCCCAACCCCACTTGGCTGTGGAAGTTCCAGATGAGCAGGAAATAGCAAAGATGTCACAGCTGTAGTCCCAGCTACTCAGGAGGCAGAGATCAGGAGGATCGTGGTTTGAGGCTGGCCTTGGCAAACAGTTCCCAAGGCCGTATCTTGAAAAAAAAATCCTTCACACACACAAAAAAAATGGTTGGTGGAGGGGCTCAAGTGGTAGAGTGCCTGCCTAGCAAGCGTGAGGTCCCGAGTTCAAACCCCAGTACCGAGCACCCTCGAGGCCCCGTCACACTGCTGGGGTACGCTTGTCACAATGATGGAAACGACTCAGCGAGGCACTGCTGCCCAGCTCTACTCATGGCTCCTCGGCCTCCGGCTATGTGGCCCTGGTGGTCACTTGTGCATGCCCACAGCTGGGCCTTTCACCCTTGCCATACCTGCTGTGCCTGTAGGGCATCCGGGGTCAGAACAGTGGGGCCATGGTCCACGTGGCAGAGCGCTGGCCCAGCAAGTTCAACGCTGGTTCAACCCCAGGACTGCGCAGAATCACAGTCACACTCCTGGAAAACGGCCTGTGCGTGGCGGTTACATTGCATCGGCCCAGGGTGCCCGGAGATACTCTGCACACCCTGCCCCTTCCAGAAGGGACTGAGCACCGGGATTCACTATCTTTGGGGTCCCGAAGCCAGTCCTGCAGTACCTAATCCAGAGTGAGCTCATCCTGACGCCTTGTTCACCTGTGGACCTCGTCCGCAGGTCCCGGGGCGGGGGCGAGGACACGCTTTTTGGGGAGACACAGTCAACCGCACTACAGGCACCGCAGAGCTTCACCTGCCCCCCACCCGGGACCCAAGCCCTCTGTGACCCTGAAGGGCTGGAGGCACAGATGTGGCTGGGACGACAGAGCAGTACTGGGGTCCCCCTCCCCTTGTTGTGGGGAGAGCTCCTCCTGGAGGGGACCTGAGCGCCCCATCCGGCATCAGGAAGCGCTGTGGGGCAGGGTGGGCAAATGTCCCCAGGGAAAGCTGCCTCTGACCTGTCCCCAGCCCTCAGCCCCTTGTCTGCAGGCAGGGGACACCTCCCAACTCCCCCCGACCCAACACAAATCCTTCCTGAGGACAAGATGGCACCCGGGCTTCCCCAGCCCCTCCTGCTAATGGGCTAGCCCACCACAGCACACATCGTGGCCTCCGTCTGCCCACACCCCTCAGGGCAGGTCCTCTTGTCCTGGAGCATCAAAGGGCCACCAAGCAGGGACCCCGAGGCTGGGGAGCAGAGTTGGGGCCCTAGCGTGATACAGCAATGGCCACTTCTCAAGATAGGAAATGACATTTGGGCAGCCCTCAGTTTCCTGGGAGCCCTGAACAGAACGAGATGAGCCCCCCCCCGCCCCACCTCCGACACACACCCCACCGCCGGCCCCTCCCAGGCAGGCACCACTCTGCGATGCAGTGGCCTTGGTCAGGCCGGGTCTGTCGCAGTCCCCATGGTAACAGCTGGCCTTCTAATGAGATTAAGTGACAGGCCAGCCGATGGCTGAGCGCAGCCCCTGCACAGGGGCCAGGCTGCAGAGGGGCAGGAGGCACAGGAGCTGTGAGCGCTGAGCACAGACCTCACACCTCCCAAGCCACTGTCGCTTCCTCAGGGCCTTTGCACGGACACTGTCCCCGCCCCCATACACGCCACCTAACACCCTGAGGGTGCCTCTGCCACTCGGTGCCGGGAACCCCAATCAAGGTCGGCATGTCTGCCTCCTGTCATACAGGGCCCCGGGAGGGCCAGGGGCAGAGCCTGTGTCAGGTGGAGCTCGGCCCATGCACAGGGAAGGAGTGACCACCGAGCACCTGCTGGAATGAGTGGAAGCCTGCCGAGGGTTGGGGGCTCTGGAATCGGGCTTCCTTCAGAACCTGGATGGGTTTCATGGATTCTGACAGGCGTCCTGGGAGCCCTGGGTGGCGTGGAGGCATTAAGCCCCTACATGGGACGGGGACCTTTGTCCTCTCAAGCCCCACAGCACCTGGAACCACAGCCCAGCCTGGCTCGCAGCCTGTGGTGGCTGACATCTCAGTGTACCCCTCCCTTTAGCACTGGGCATGGTTCTAGGGGCAGGGTACGTGGCAGCACATCAGACAGACAGACAGACAGATGAGAGAGGGGCTGTCCACAGGAGTCCCTGGTCCTGAGCGGGAGGGCCATGAGACTGAGCTGAGAGTGAGCAGGAGGAAAGCCCGGGGAGGTGGCAATGGACAGGGAAGGAGGGAATGGCAGGTGCAAAGGCCCTGGGGTTGGAAGTGCACAGGCTGAGGCTCAGGCTGGCAGACAAGGATGAAGTATGGATAGTTGCTGATGGGGCAGAAGCTGCTGGCACCACGCAGCATCCACAGTCAGGGCAGTGATGCCCTCCGCCAGCTCCAGGTCCCCCAGGAACCTTTGCCTGGCAGGCCACCCAGGCCCACGGCACAGCCCTGCCCGGCTGGGGGTAGCTGCCATCTGCTGC